AATACCACATTGTCATGTTATATTCATTGTTTTCTCTCTTCAGTGGACACAAAAGACCAAGAGACGAGAAAATGGCCAACTCCATCCAGAAGACTCAGAAACAGACAAAACCCAGGATCAACGACCCTGATAAGAAAAGAAAAAGGTGAAACTGTCTGTCTGGAAGGAATGTCATTTGTATTGTGCTCTACTTTTCACTGACTCCCTGAATCATTTCAACATGTCTGATCATGTGTATGTAATTTCATATAATCCCACAGATCCTCCAACCCACTCGGTTCTCACAATGTCATTTGGTATTTAGTGTCTCAGATGCAGGTTGCCTTATTAGAAGTTACTATTTAGACTTGTGGGACATTTAGAGACCAAGCCTTTTGCAGACTTGTGGCATAAAATACCTCTGTTGTGTTGTGATTTAATGGCACCTGCAGAAGCAGCGCAGTTACACCAGTGCGGATCAGTGTACTGCTGTTCTTTACTCTGATTGATATGTGTGGCATCTGCCCAGGAGAGATTTGAGTACTGATTTTGTGTGCCTTTGTAATGTATGTGTGCCAGAACTGGCATCACTAATAATACTATTATATTTATAATATCTTCATTTAATATAATAATAAATAGTGGATTATCACGCTGACACGTAGTACTTCTGCATTCAGTGATCTTTGCACACTACCACCGATCACTCTGGCGAACTCATGACGGACTACACGAGGTTTATTTATACGGCATCCCTGGTAAATTATTCTGATTCACTAAAGTTGAACGCGCGCGCAGCGTGATAAAGATGTATCCCCATTCTCTTTACGAATGCAGTTGCTTTTATGTGGATCAAACAGACGTAACGTGCAAATAAACATCACTCACCCCCAGTACTTTTTACCTATTAAAATACCTGTAAAGGGCCAATACAATGATTATAATGCATGTTTTCACCTGCCAAAAAGAGATTAAAGCCTCTACTTATTAATTAAAAAGTTATTTCTGCCCTGAAATTAGTTGATAATATTCATCTGACTGATTGTAACTCACCTACTACTATTTACCCATTAAAATACCTGTAAAAGGCCAATACAGCCAGTATTTCACCTGAACAAACAAACGCGCTACTAGGGCTGTACGATTTTGGCTAAAATCATAATCACGATTAATCGAACAAGTCACCTCGATTACGATTATTGAATGATTATCATGTCATTGACAAGGCTTTTTGTAAATATGTATGTATTTTTTTTCTAATGAAAAATCGTTAAGATTCTAAAATAAGGAAACACAGATAGTTTTTAATGCTTATTAAATATTTTAAAAAAAAGTCATTTTTGTAAATAAAATAAATTATTGTAAATATTGCCATCTAAAAAGTAAAATACAACTTGAATAAAACTAAAAATGTTTCAAAACTAAAATTTGTAAATGCTTGTTGTGTTATCGAAAGCTGCTGTGTGGAGTGGAGGCATTTGTCAGTCTCTCTCTTTTTCGCGTGTTTCTTTGGTACAAGCAGCTTCTGTTACTGAGTTTACTCAGTGTTTGAGGAATCAGAGAGTGTGTTCACACACAACCCGCAAAGACATATAGTTTGCTTATGAGCTGCGATTTTTTATTTATTATTTTTTTTGAAACCACGCTTATGCATTTTTTTTCTCTGATTCGATCATAAACTAGCGCATTACGACCCGTTTCACGCTGGCGAACGATCCCGGCTTAAGCGCGATCATTTCGACACGGCATTGATTACAGGAAGCAAGGAAACACACATATAGCTTTTAAAATAAAAAATAAAATAAATTATTGTAAATATTGCCATCTAAAAAGTAAAGTATAACTTGTATAAAACTAAAAAACTAATCCTTTTCATATTGTATAGCCAGTGTTGGGTAAGTTACTCTAAAAAAGTAATTAATTACTAGTTACTAATTACCTCTTCAAGAGTGTAATTAGATTACTGGACTAATTACTCTCTCTAAAAAAGTATTTAATTACTTTCAAAATCCCATATAAATCTCAACCAGCTGAATAATACAAGGATAGACATGAATCTGTTTTAATTCTTTCAAATAAATACTATAAAATTGTATGAATTATCCTTAAACTGACCAAGGTGGAGAAGGTTACATCATAAAAACATACTTTTTAGCATCAGACAATACATTTTGATGTTAAACCCACTATTGTTTTATGTCTGATCTCATGAAATTTCACACTTTTTTCATACATATTTTACAATAATTCATACGAATTTGTACGAGTGCGATTTAGACACCTCATAAAATGCATACGAATCGCTGTGAGATCAGATTGATCTATACAGTATTTACCTCAATTACATCAATAGTAACTGTAATTAAATTACAGATACATGATGAGTAATCCCTTACTTTACATTTGCAAGGGAAAAGTAATTAAATTACAGTAACTAATTACTTAGTAATTAGTTACACCCAACACTGTGTATAGCATTTGTAAATGCTTGTGTTATCGAAAGCTGCTGTGTGGAGTGCAGGCACTTATTGCTGGGCGTTTGTTAGTCTCTCTCTTTTTCGCGTGTTCCTCGAGAAACCAAGCTTATGCATTTTTTTTCTCTGATTCGATCATAAACTAGCGCATTACGTACCGTTTCACGCTGGCGAACGATCCCTTGGCATTTCGATCCCTTCGGTTTCGATTATTTTTCGGTTAATCATCCACCCCTACGCGCTACCTTGTTTTATTTTAAAGTTTGGACCTTCATCCCGGTGAACCGCTTTAATCCACTTCTTCCTTATAATCAATTCAGTCCGGAAACCATGAAAACTTAAGTAGGGTTGGCGTTGTTGGTTAGATTTACAAAGTGGCCATTGTTGAACTGCGTCGGAAGTGGACATGCACAAAGTTGACAAACCCAGAAGCGTGATAATCCCCTGTTGTATAGACATGTTGGCCAATATGATAGCAGATAATTATTTTGGATGATTTATTTTGTACAAGTATACAATATCCTAGATCTAGTATGGTAGATCTCTTGACAAGACTTCAGGTTTGAGTAGGCTAGTGGGTTAGTCTGATGGCCTATTTAAAAAACTAAGGTTTTTTTTTGCATTGTGACATTTTCATGACAAGCAGATTTCCCTTAAATGCTCATTATTGTAATACACTGTAATACAATGTTTTCGTGTAATAAAATTAATTTCAGTATGACGAATACTATTATGATCTTTACTTGCAACTGTACTTTACAAATGTATCATTGCTTTTAAAATACACCATTAGTTTTTTTTTTTAAATGGAAAAATACAAGAAACTGGTTTTAATTTTGTTTAGTTAACATGCCATTTCTTATTTTTAGATTCAGCCTTCAGCAATTTTGTAAGTGTAAAGAGGTCATGTTGCATATGTCGGGTCAGGTCGGCGTTGTGTTGAGGCTTGTTTGTGTCTTATATTATGGTTTCAGTCTGGGCTGTATTTGCTGTACGTGACACAGCGAGTGCTGCCCTGTTGGGAAACCTCCCCAATGAGGCAGCAAAGGCACATCTGCTGGATTTTTGTAAAAAACAAGCTTGACCGGGCTCCTCAAAATCCTCAGGCTGTACGTGAGAGCCACATGTGTGCTGTGACATGCTGGTTTGGAGCTTGCTGCTGTTCTTGTGGCTGTTGGCGTTTTAAGACTGAGCTTCAGCATGGTGTGATGTTTTTGCTTTTTTCCTCAGTTTTAGACATTCGCCTTTACCACTTGAATGAGATTTCAACCAAATACGCAAGTCATTGAGCGCCATAGATTTGTGTTGAGCTTAAACCTGATGGTACTTCTATATTAAAATGTGGAAGGTCTTCGCACAGCCTCAGACTAGCAAATTTTGTGGGTGTGCGTGTGGTTTGCGTGCAGCACTGGTATGTTTCCGCGGACTGAGCTGAGAGTGTGTTATGCTTGGTTAATTGTCGCTAAAGTAGATTTTATTTTTGTTTAATTCTGCCATTTTGAGTCTGACCAAAAAAGATGCATGTATTACGTTAATAAAACTTCCCTCATTCACTCCTTCATACCCCCCTTTATCACACTTAGGTTTGCAATATTCTCATCACATCATTGGAATTGCAACAACTCAACTGACATGAACTCACTAATTATTTGTCATTGGATGGATAAATATTTGTATCAGTCTAAAGATGGACAAAATAGTCCTAACCAGTGATTCTACTTCCCTTGAAAAATTATTTAAATGTAGTTATATTAATATATTTATTAAATGCTTAACTGTAAAAATAAAGTTGGACAACTATAACATAATTTTGAGGGGTTTTTTTTGCAAAAAAAGGTGAAGGAGCAGGGAACAATATAGCAATATTGAAAGTCACGGTAATAAGAGCTTGCTCCATATTGGTTGTTAATGCCCCTGCTGCATGTTGGGATATTAACTGTCATTTATTTCCTAATAGACTGTCAATCAGCTGCAGATATTGCATATATATATATTGAATGGGCTATTTAAAGGGATCACCCAAAAATGAAAACTGTCATTTACTCTTGCAGCAGAAATGTATTGCCACAAGAATTTGTGAAATGCCACAATTCCGCATTTCATTTACACACGATAAAAGCCGCATAGTCACCTTTAAGGTTACGTTTACATTACAAGTCTTAATGCACAGATTTGATCTTTTGACAATATCCAAATTTCTATTTTGATCCCGCCTGTTTATATTCACTTTAGACACGACTGGTATCTGATATCTGTTTACATTAATCCCCGTCAAAAATGATTCTGTTGTTGTTGATCGTTTTACTATGCGACATGGTTGATTAAAATTACTCAGGTTTTTAAAATTATTTATATAATTCATGTTGAGTAGTACCATAATTATTTGCCAGCATGGGAAAATTAAAAGCTGACAAAATCTGACTGAATGCATAGGCTATAGACTGGGAAAATAACAGTAATTATGAAAGTGAAATAAAGGGGGTAAGATTACATTTATTATGAAATTAATTAACGAGAGACGGAGAGATTGTGAGTGTGAATTACCTGTGTCTTTCACAGCATCTCCATGGCCCTGGTATTAAGATGTTTTGGTCGATGCATTGGGTCTAGAACGTTCTGAGCTTGTCCACTTTCGGATGTGAAAATCAATTTTGTCTGATCTGTAGTAAATAAATAAAAGAATAATAATGCAGGTTTAGAACAAAGTGAGGGAGAGTAAATGTTTCATTTTCATTTTTGGGTGAAGAAACCCTTTTTAACGTTGTGATTTGAAATATAACTTATTTGACATATTTGCATTTTGTGATTTGTATTGACAGAGTGAGAACAACCAGTGACATCTAACTCCATGGCAACCTCTGCAAGATATCTCCATCCCATAATCCCCCAATGTTTTTAAAAGCTGTTTACAGCATGAACTCCTCAAGAAGGTTTCTCCACTCCGAACAACAGCACACACCAGCACTAGATCAGTGGATGAAGCTCAATTATATCAAGAGGACAGCGCATCGCCATGGTTTGGATTTGGTTTTAATTTCATTGGACCCATTTTGTGTCTTTTTTTTATTTAGCTTTTTGTTGGAAAAAGCAGCAGGATCTGAAATTGTTCTATGCATTTCTAATGCTGTTCACACATTGTATTTTTAGACAACTTTTTTTTCAGAGGCAAAATGAAATGCTCTATTTTTTTATATGAAATTACTTGAAATTTCCTATCATATCTACAGGGCTGAATGCTCAAAAATCCAGTTTGTGAGATTGTTAGATGATGTATTATGCTGAAGAGTGCTTGCATTGTGTACATAGTGTACCTTATGAGATGTAAAAAAACAAAAACAAAAAAAGCAATTTGATTGTACAAAATGAGACATTGCATTTGGTTAAAACAAACAGACCAAATCAGCATTGTCTGATGTTGAAGAGTCTTACTTTTCTTTATCCAAGAGTAGCATCCATGAATAAAACTGCTATCATTTAGTTTCTGTAATGATGTGTTGCTTCATTCACTTTTTCCAGGCTGTCAACCACTAAGCTAATATTATTGCTCATCTCTCTCTATAGACTAAACTGGTCATATTTTACAATATTTTATTTTCCATTACTGGTAGATCACTTTGTGTTTAGTGTAAAGGTAGATCTCATGCAGAAAGGCCAGTAAATAATTCACCCTGAAATAAGACCATTTACTTTTTCACATGGTGGCATTTTCATGACAATAAGCACGTAAATATTTTATGTAATGTAGGGAAATTTTATTTTTATTACTGTAAAAAATATATTTTTTTATACTTAAACCAACAAATTCAGTAAAACATTCCTTTGAATATTTTTGAAAAAATTTTCCACTTTTCACATTAAAATGCTTAGTTATAATTAAATAAAAGTATATTATGCTCATCAAGTCAGCATTTATTTGATCAAAAAAAGTAATATTGTGAATTATTTCAATTTAAAATAACTTTATTTTAATAAAGTTAACATTTTAAAACATGCTCTCATGAATTTTCAGCAGCCACTACTCCAGTAACATCATTATCCTTCAGAAAATAATTTTAATATATGTATTTTGCTGCTCAAGAAACATTTCTTATTAACATTGAAAACCGTTGTGCTGCTTCATAATTTTGTGTAAACCGTAATAATTTTTTTTTCAGGATTAACGTTAGTTGATGAACAGAAAGAACAGCATTTATTTAAAAAAAATCTTTTAGAACCATGTCTTTCCTGTCACTTTTGATAAATTTCATAAAAGTATATATTTTATGTAAAAGTAAAAATCATACTGCCCCCAAACAGTAGTATATGACCTGGATATTTCTTGACCATTTTTGTAGTTCACCCAAAAATGAAAATTAAGTCATTAATTACTCACGCCCATGCTGTACCAACCCCGTCAGTTCATCTTCGGAACACAAATGAAGATATATTTGATTAAATCTGAGAGCTGGATCACTGCTACATACTAGGCTGCCTAAGGGATTGAAACTTGACGGCCCAGAAAGTCATTAAAGAAAATGTTTAAATATTCCACGTGACTACAGTGGCTCAACTATAAGTTTATCAAGCGACGAGACTACTTTTTGTGCGGAAAAAAAACATAAAAAACGACTATATTCGACTATTCCATTACTTCATTGTGGGCCTTGAGACGAGAGTTGAAGAGATTTCCAGAACGCATGCGCGAAAACTGAGATGAGGACGTTCTTCCTCGACTACTTCTTGTTACCCGCTGCTCAGCGCTTAAGAGTATTACCGCCACCTACCGTATAAAATGATGTGCCGGAAGTGCAAAACTTTGTTGTTTTTTTATTTTTATTTATTTATTGCAATTTCAAGATTTACAAACAAACATGGCTGCATAACTTCTTTTTCTTTTATAGAATACAAAAATAATATAGCCAGAGGGAGCAGCACTTAATACAGCAAGAAAATAAATGTAGTCTGAGTACAAAAAAATAAGGATATTTGTAAGGAAAATAAACATTTAAATAAATAAATCATAGGAATTATGATAAAACAAACATGACAATATAAGGGGTGAATGCAGTCTATAAGGCGACCTTTAATCTTCTCAAAAAACGACAGTGCGCCTTATATATGGATTAATTAGTTAACAACACTCCGGGTTATTAAATTCGCCCTCGAACTCGCGCTCGTGTCCATCTTATGCCCGCTTTGTCACACGGCCAGTTCATGTATGTCTCCCGCTCACGCGCGCTCACTCTTAACAACAGACACACGAACTGACTGTCCCCGGCGCTGCTCGCGCGTCACAAAATGTTCATAAAGCGCTCCCCTTTCACAGTAACCGGGTAGTCTCATTTAAAACAGCCAGCTGTTGCTTTCAGCGAGCCGCCGCACAGACTCAGTGAGTCTGGCTGCGAATGTAAGTTTCGCGCCCGCCCCAACGCGCTCACAATAATAAACGCCTCACCTCCGGCGCCATCTAGTGGATGCATAACGCAAACCCATTCAAACGTGTGACTGCAGTATCTTATGAACCTCATAATCCGGTGCGCCCTATATATAAGAAAATGTTCTAAAATAGGCCATTCATTGAAGGTGCGCCTTAAAGTGCGGTAGACACTTAAATGTGCTGCAGGTCTCGCTACATTATATACAATTGCTAAAAAGTGTGCATTTCCAGGATGTCCGAATCGTGAAAAACCAACCAGAGAACGTAAAAGTGCTTCGATATTGCAAAATGAACGGCTTACCTTTTTCACTTTCCCATTTAATGATCTTGAGCGACTGCTGGCTGTTCAGCTTGATGTTAAGCGTCTAATTGAAAAGCGTATGTACAACGCGCGTTTTCCTCTGCTTGTAAACAGAAAGTTTTGCGCTTCCGGTACGTCATCTTATACGGTAGGTGGCGAGCATAGAAATATACACTAGACTCACCTTGGGGTTCTAAGCATGCGTCAAAACCGCCGCCATCTTGGAACAGGGGTCTTGTCATAGGAAGTAGCTAGGTAACGTTGCTATCTCTGCCTTTACTTCGAATTCATTGATGGTGGCGGACTTTTGTGCAGCAATAATGTTCACGGATGAATTCTGAACTAGGAAGAATGTTAAAAAAAAAAAAATTCTTTATGGGATCAATGATAAATACATGTCTGGCCGTTGTAACAAACCAAAAAAAAAAAAAAAAAAAAAAAAATTAAAATCTAAATTAAACTAAATTTATGGTGATTTTATTTCCTTTAGACCTGTGTCTACTACATTGACGCTGATGCATTAAAGTGGAGGGGCTCCCCTGTTTCAAGATGGCTGCTTTATTGACGCATTCGTTCTAATGAACTGCCGTAGCCAAGGTGATGTCTAGCGGTGAGCAGCCCGTAACATGTAGTCGAAGAAGAACGTCCTCGTCTCAGTTCTCGCGCATGCGTTCTGGAAATATCTTCAACTCTTGTCATAAGGCCCACAATGAAGTAATGGAATAGTCGAATAAAGTCGTTATTTATGTTTTTTCGCACAAAAAGTAGTCTCGTCGCTCGATAAACTTATAGTTGAACCACTGTAGTCACATGGAATATTTAAACATTTTCTTTAATTTCTTTCTGGGCCGTCAAGTTTCATTCCCTTAGGCAGCCTAGTATGTAGCAGTGATCCAGCTCTCAGATTTAATCAAAAATATCTTAATTTGTGTTCCGAAGACGAACGAAGGTCTTACGGGGTTGATACAGCATGGGGGTGAGTAATTAATGACTTAATTTTCATTTTTGGGTGAACTAACCCTTTAAACCCATAATAATATTTGCAGTAATTTCCATCACTGTGCTCTATTTTTTATTGAACTTTTTCTTATTACAATAAAGAAATTTAACAAAGAAAAAACACATGACATTCTCAAAATGTACAATATAATTCTAATTGTATTACAAACCAAGATTCACACCTCCTGCACATCATCCAAAAAGACATCCTCTCTACACTGTTCGCATGACAAGGGAGAACAAATAGACTGAAGGAGCTCAAAACACTAAAAGAAAAAAATAAAAAAGAAAGAAAAAGAAAACAGAGGGACTCAACTCATCCGAAGTGTCACTAAGACAGCAATGAATGGGACATGACCTGACACTTTTAGCATGGTAATTCTTGGTACATCAACAATGAAAGCATTGGGGCTTTTAAATGTTTTCACTTTCTTCCCAGAATGTCACACATAACTGCTCACAGCTGCGTCACATTACAAGAACTGCAACACTGCTGGGAAACTCGTGGAAGAGAGCCAAACCTATTCTGTCATCAACTGATGGGTGGGGAGATGAAAAAGTATCAGTGTGACTAGCAATATAAGAAAGAGAAAAAACAGCACGGGACACACAATTTGGCAAAAATAATGTTACGGCTTTTTATTTGTGTTCTATTTCACTTATTTACAAGCAAAATGTGTATTGAACGCTTTGTGCACGTTGACAGTTGTTATCCATGTTATAAACACCTCCATTTCAGCAGAGTTGATAAAGCATGTCCAGGCGCAAGCGTGATGTTTCAGCCACGCTTCAGAAGAGAAGAGGCGGGATCCCGCTGCCGAACAGCAGCTTCCATGAGGGAGGAACCCGCCACTGCACTGAGCCCTGCGTCTGAGAAAAAACAAACAGCAACACTATCTTTCACTTCTGAAATTCTGTATCCACATCCTTCCAAGATAATGTGCCATGCTCAACATGTTTTGAGATTTATTTAGTGCAGGGTAGGCTGCACCCTTGAAACTGTCTTATGGACCTTGAACCGTTTGGACCCCATTGAAGTCCATTATATGGAGAAAATCCTGGAATGTTTTCATCAAAAACCTTAATTTCTTTTCGACTGAAGAAAGAAAGACGTGGACATCTTGGATGACATGGGGATGAGTAAATTATCAGACAAAAGTTTTTTTTTAAAGTGAACTACTCCTTTAAATTTACCTGATTTACCTATGGCAAGCCGTTTTAGCTTTTATTCATTTCCAGGATATGAATTCTTGATATCAACAATTTCGTTCTTGATATCAACAATTTAATTGTTGATATCAAGTATTGAATTATTAATATGAACAATTGAATTCTTGATATTAAAAATTGGAATTTATGATAAACAATTGAATTCTTGATATCAACAATTGAATTGCTGATATCTGTAATTGTATTTTCACTAGTGAAATTTCACCATAGGCTGCTATTCAAAATGAATTGTTGATATCAAGAATTGATTTTTTACTAGTTGAAATATAATTTGACATCAATAATTACATTGTTACTAGTAAAAATGTGAATTCCTGATATCAATAATTAAATTGTCACTAGTTGAAATGTCTATTCTTGATATCAACAATTCAATTGTTACTAGTAAAAATTATAATTTTTGATATCTGAAAATGTATTTCTGATATCAATATTGTTTCAGATATCTAAAATGGCTTTCTTACTAGTAACAATCACATTCATGATATCAGAAATTAACATTGTCACTAGTAAAAATTGAATTATTGATATCAAAAATGAACATTGTTACTAGTAGCATTTCAATTGTGGATATCAAGAATAGACATTTCAACTAGTAACAATTGAATTCTTGATATCAAAAGTAAAGGTTTTTACTAGTAATAATTGTATTTCTGATATGTGAAATTGGAATTTCAACTAGTAAGAAATCAATTCTTGATATCAACAATTGGTTTTGAATGGCAGCCTATGGTGACATTTCACTAGTGAAAATACAATTGTTGATATCAACAATTGAAATCTTGATATCAAAAATGCAATTGTTGATATCAAGAATTCATATCCTGTAAATGAATAAAAGCTAAAAGGGCTTGCCATATTTACCAGATACCCTGTTTGTTTCATCAGCATTATTCAGGTTCACTATACTTTCTCCCACACTTACAGGTTTTTCCAGCAGATGGAGCCAGTCATTAAGATGGTTGATGAGAGCAAAAGCATCCGGGATGTTGTCCCCCTCTGAGCAGAAGATCAGAACTACTGCCATAGGGATGTCCTCTGCGCAGCTGGAAGACAACAAACTCCATTGGACGAATTCAAGATCGTAGATTTGACCATTTTCCGATTTCTAGCAGTTTTTACCAGTCTGTGTAAAGGGCTTTGGTCACTCCTCCTCCAGGAATGTAGAGCCGCTGCTCTGAGTCGGAGATCTCAGGGAACACACTGATTCTCTCCATCTCCCTCCAGCCCAGCTCCTCCACCCGCGGGCCCTCCTCCTTCAGCAGAGACGGGCTCAGCAGGTACCGCAGAGGAGTGCTGCCCAACAAGACCATACAAGCATTTAAAAACTACCCATACTAAAATATTTGAATCATCTGGGGTTTTGGTGACTTAGAAGTTCACACAAGTGTAAAGAATCATCTTCTAAAGTCTGAGGCGCAATACATTTGTATATTGTTTCATCATTTAAAACATGTTTAATTGAAAAACAAAAAAAAGTGTGTGAGTGTGTGCGCTTCCTTAAAGGGTTAGTTCACCCAAAAATGAAAATTCTGTCAGTATTTACTCACCCTCATGTTGTTCCAACCCCGTAAGACCTTCGTTCATCTTCGGGACACAAATTAAGATATTTAAGATATTAAGATCGCTCCTGCATACAGTCCATATGCTTCTTGAGGGAATGACACTCGCTGGCATCGAAAAGTTATTAAAGACATCGTTAAAATAGTCCAAGTGACTACAGGGGCTCAATCTTAACTTTATCAAACGACGAGAACACTATTTGTGCGCAAAAATAACGACTTTATTTCAACTATTCGTTTATTTCTCCCTCTGCGCGAGTCAGGTTACTAGTTTAATAGCGTAAGCTTCTGTTATTGTACGTCACACGCATCACACACATGACCAGCGTCGGCCAATAGTGAGCCTATGTGTGACGTAGCTTTACGCAATCACACTACGTTAACTGACTACAGGCTCATGGAGAAGGAAGTGAATAGTTGAAATAAAGTCGTTATTTTTGTTTGTTTTTGCGCACAAATAGTGTTCTCGCCGTTTGATAAAGTTAAAATTGAGCCACTGTAGTCACTTGGACTATTTTAACGATGTCTTTAATGACTTTTCAATGCCAGCGAGTGTCATTCCCTCAAGAAGCCTATGGAGCGATCTTAATATCTTAAATATGTTAATTTGTGTTGCGAAGATGAACGAAGGTCTTACGGGGTTGGAACAACATGAGGGTGAGTAAATACTGACAGAATTTTCATTTTTGGGTGAACTAACCCTTTAAAATGCATGGCGTGAGGTTTGAAATTGTCATCTGAGAAAATTAACTTACTAATACAATGACATTTCTATCTATCTGTCCTCACTGTTTCATTACCCATGAAGCTGTTGGTCGTCTCTCTGATAAGCGTAACTGCTGGACAGCAGCACACTTCTGAGGAATCCACTACTCTTGATCCAGGAAACTATCAGCTTTCGGAATGATCTGACCTTTGTCTAAAATGAACAGAAAACAGCAAAGACTCATGTGCAAGTGAAATCAAGTTGTATCTGTGATATATCGGCCGGTATTTGGCATTTTATAATTAGCGACGTCAGCTGAAAGTTTTTCTTTTTCTGTTACAGTGTTTTTTATCAAGTGCAAATTATTTTCATGTTGCTTTATTTTACAAATTATATAGACCATTTTGCAAGATGAAAACAAGACTGGTCCAGAAACACTTCCTGTTTCAGTTTGTAACTGTTTTTTTATTTCACATGTAAAGAAAACATCTTAAAGATGTTTGTTTAACTTTTTGATTCAGTTTTATATGTTCTGTTGGTTGTATTTTATCCTATATTTTGTGTAGTGTTAAAAAACTGAAACAGGAAGTGCTTCTGGACCAGTGTTGCAAAATGGTCAATACATTATTAAACTGAATAAACAGTTATATATACATATATACATAAAATTTTCGCCTCAGCGAGGGGACCAATCACAAAACGGGAGGGAGGAGCAAGACGATGACGTCTATGCAACACACCGAAGCTGTTCGTTTATACTGTACCTATGGATCCAACATGGCAGCAGTCGCGAAGTTACCTTTCGATGCAGCCTTAGATATTGTTCTAAGTAGTTTAGAACGCAAATAAATCTATGATCCATCGTCTTCTTCTTCCTCGTCTAATTTCTGTCGCTCTGGTATAATTGAAACGACTGGCTATGATGAGCTACGTACAGGCGCATTTGACAAACATTCTTAGGACCCAATAAATATATCTATAATTTTGTCATATATATTTATTTGATTTAAATAAATGCATTAAAATAAATTAATATAATACTATAGAAAGTTAAAGATGTAGTGATGTAGCATAATAGAAACTGTAACATTTCCCAAATGATACTTCACATAGCTATAATGTAAAGTTTTTTTATTAATGGGGTCTTTATAAATGAAAATATGAAGAGGTCAGATGCAAAAGGCAATGAAGATTACCTATTAATTGTCATTTAAGTGAAATTACTGAACTTAAATATACAACCTTGATAAAAATGGTCATTTTAGAAGAAAATTTCAAATGGCATTTAGAGGCTTTTGCATCTGAACTCTTCATATATAGCTTTGTTTTAAATTTTAGAAGTGGGTCCCTCGCACAAAGATGGTAAGTATTACAGACTCTGCTCTATGATACTGGCATCAGCCGTCAAAAACTCCATATTGGTCGACCACTAAATTGTAAACCTGAACAAAGAGTAAACCTGTATCTATAAATGCACACCACTTGGCACTAACCTGGATGATGGGTGTTCTTATCTGCAGGACAGCCAGCTTTAAGTCACTGTGAGAGTAAACTGCACCAACACATTCACAACATAAGACATTGTACATGCAAGAGAAAATATGATTCTCGTGGATTAAAGCTATAGTATCCCATTACCCTCTGCGCTGATGCTGAGCCGGGCAGCATCCTCAGTGGATGTGACATACGGGTTGTTTCCAACCATGGGAATCAGACAGTCCGTGTGGAAGTATCCCACTCTGGGCATATTTAACGTAGAGATGAGGAGATCCACGGCGAGCTGTCCCACGTTTCCAACAGATACTGCAGGCTATGCACAAGAGAAACAATTATAAGTAGCTCAATGTTTGATAAGTGCAGCATACAGAGGATCAAATGTGTTTGTTTGTGTGATGATGATGATGAAGCTGAAATAGTAATGAAGGCAAATACTTTACTTACCATTATCAACGTAAAGCCTTTAAAAGATGGAACTACATCTCCCGCCGAAATAAACATTTTTAAAACTCTTTAGATCTAATTTTGACGATAAATCCAAATGAATTGCAGTGGATCTGTAGTGATTTTTACTTTCAATTTCTTGCGCTGTGAAAAAGGACCTGACATTACTGCGTCATCATGGCTCACAGGGACACCCTGATGCCTGAACAAAAACAATCAAAACTATTCATTTACGCGACGTGTATTTTTGACCAGTTTTGAGGACGTAAAAAATGTGTGATATAGCCTACATAATGATATTACTGATTTTTTATCAGACCATAAGAGATATTAATTTGTCCGTCACAATCATTTATTGTGCCAGACACATGTCAAAATAAAAGTCTTTACCCAACAAATTTACCAGCTAAACAATATATTTTTAAAATCTTATTATTGTTTATGTTGTTGTTCTTTATCGGCATATTATTATTAATATTATAAACATAAAAGTCCTGCAACTGTTGTTTATTTACACTGCTCATTTGAAAGATGTAATTTTATTTTCAAATACATTAATAAAATTAGGCTAATTTTTTAAGATATAATTTTTCCGGAAGTAAAACCATCATCATAAGAAAATGTAGTTTTATTAGAAACTCACTGCATAAGCGCAGTTCACCACGAATGACCAGAAGATGACGCTGGACTCTTATAGAAATTAGAGGAGAAAAAATAATTTGCCATGTCCTGTGTTACTGCTCGTACAATAATCACGAGATTCAAATACAATTCAGAAAAACATTGTGTGTTAATCACAACAGAGATTAAGTAGCGGAGAAGATAGTTGCAACTGGAAAATTCAATTGATAGTTGCTACTACGTGTGATAATGCAATATCCCTGAGCCAAGGGCTATGAAACTTACAAAACACAATAAAATAACAGTGACTTTTCTGCAGGGATATTAAGAAATATGGTGTTTCACAAAGGACAATGCAAGAAATCGATACAGTCATCAGCCTCAGCCAAAGGCTTTCATAGAATAAAGCTTTCAGTCCAGCAATGAAATATAATAGCAACAAGCTAAACAATAAACACAATTCTGTGGATGTACTTTTACAAAGGCACGCCTGCAGACATGGAGACTCAATTGTATGTCATCTTCAACTAATTTTTGAATATTTATATGTGTCTGTAATAGCTTACACAATTTAGTCTTGTAACAAACCTTTTTCTTTTGTCTTTGGTCACTTAATTACATGGACTGAATTGGAGACGACGTCATGATGGAAAGACATTCTTCTGTGCTTTCATTGATATTCATTATATTCTATTTTTTGTACTGTAACACATTTCTACAACTGACTGATGACGAATTTGAACACATATTTATATAAGATCTATTTTTTTACTGTATAAATGACTTTAGAGAAGTATAGGGCACACATCTTAAAGAACCATTTAATTCATATTTATTTTAATCTATCAATTATTTTATTATAAAGTTTAACTTTTAGTATTTTGCAGTTCTATTTAGTATCATTGCAATAGGCCTATAATTATAATACTACTCAAAAATAAGTAGTTTTAATTTAGTTTTTTCTTCTATTATTCTAATTAGTTAAAGTTTTAGTAATTGTGTTGTGTTTTTGTAATTTTTATAGCTTTTTAGAAATAAATGTGTCTATATGGTTTTTATGAATCTTTGTACATCAAGTTAAGATAATTGAAAATGAGAAATGTTGCTTTGGTAAATACCTGAAATAAAAAAAAAAAACAAACATATATATATATATATATATATATATATATATATATATATATATATATATATATATATATATATATATATATATATCTTCAGTTAACATTTCTATTATTTCTATTATATATTTTTCTATATTTCTATATAATTTTTTACATTTTTAACTTTATTTTAGTATTTATTTATTTATTTATTTTTTTTTTTACCATTTCCCATACATGAAAAATAGATTTCACTGGAGCATCTTCAGTATATTTTGTAATTTACCATTACTGGAAAGCTGTATTGATAAATGAGCTTTCACTGAAAGCCTTTCAGGATCAGAACTATCAGTTTCGCAAAGATTAGTCTTAATGCAAATTCTTGTTTAAACTAAGCAGCAGCTTTTTCAGGGTGTGTACTGTACATCACCAAGGGTCACGAGCATTATCTGATTATCTGCATGACCTCATAGTTCACCTCATAGGGTCACCAGCACCAGTTCAGTTTGCTCCATCTCCAGTTCTGGATCAGAAGCATTCTAACAAATGCTCAGTTTAATGATTTTATATATATAATCTCTAATTGTTGGTGTGTGTGCGTGTGTGTGCTTCACCTGGGAGCTATATATAGATCATTAGATAATGACTTAAACAAAACCCCTCTGTTCACATGCACTGCAGTCGTAACACAGCATTTAATAATTTGATTATATCAAAGTCACAATGTCCAGCACAATAATTCAATCAGTGTTCAGAGACCACAAACACACACACACACACACACACATTCAAATCATTTTTGCTGTAACCTGTCAGAAATGTAAGTGCAAGGTTTAATTCGACTGATTTAACCAAATGTGCAAACTTTAAAACTTTTCACAAAATGCAATGTTGATCCCTTCTTTTTCTTTGCATCTTCCTTCAGTAAAAAGTATAAGCTTACTACTTTTTGGGTCTTTAAATGTCTAAACTATATGTATTTTGAAGACCAAATACAATCACCTGAAGTAAAAACCAAAACAAAGGCTATAAACAATGTACGTCACGGTCGGTTGACTTCAACATCCCCATTAAGCTTTTAAGCACCATTAAACTCTTTCCGTTTTTATTTAAACACATTTTTCCTGAAAGTTTGAGTTAGAATAGTTTGCAAGAGCGTGATTATAAACACGATGAGTTTAGTTGTTTGTCATGTTGATGTTTAATGTCCCAGACGGCCTCTATAGTCTCATTTGGACGATGTATTTTTTTGTTGTAGAATAAAACGTGAAAATATCTTGAGCTTGAGTTAGCCACACACCTTATTGCAGCTGGCTTTAACCAAAAATCCATTGACTTCAGCGCGCAATGGAAATAAATGTGCTAAAAACTATCTTGGTTTTAGCCTATAAAAATATGCCATCCTTGCAGAAATCTATGTACTTTGGTGCCTACACTGTAAAAAAATATTTTCAAGATTTATCATCACAACATTTTTTCTTTTGTCAAAGCAACTTAAATAATTCATTTAGTTGAGATAACTTATTATTTTGAGTTTCTGATGATTAAATTAATCTCCTTCATTGTATTAACTCACTTTTTCCAGTTCAATCAACTTAAAATTTTAAGGCAACCAGGTTACTTACTTTTTTAAGTTAAACCAACAATACATTTTTACCGTGTGATAACCTTTGACCCTTACCAATAATTATGACAAACAAAAATTCACAATGTAATAAATATTTAACATTATCTTCCTTTATCTTTAAGAATAATTATAGTCTTGTTTGAAGTAAAAACAATAAAATCCCTTATTATATCTGTTAGTTAACCAACACTAAAACAATTTAAAAAAAATATATTTTCACACTGTAAAAAATATTGTTGGTTTAACTTAAAAAAGTAAGTAACCTGGTTGCCTTAAAATTTTAAGTTCATTGAAATGGAAAAGTGAGTTAATACAGTGAAGGAGATTAATTTAATCATCAGAAACTCAAAATTATATGTTATCTGAATAAATGAAGTTGATTTGACAAAAGAAAAAATGTTGTGATTACTAACCATGAAAAGATTTTTTTACAGTGTCAGTGGTAATTAGTTTTTCCATCCTGTGAAATGCACTTCTAAAATGTAAATGCTCTATTTAGAGCTTAGATGTAACATTTAGGACTGCTTAGTTGATGTCATCAACACCATCCATAAACGAGAACCACATTCTGAGTTCATTGTCAATCATCTCTGCGGCACCATCACCTTTTTGCTGACATTGCAAGATCCACATGAACTGATGTCTACCAATGTCTTAAACCCTCTAAAGCCTTGTCTTTGGAACAAAGTGAGTAAAGGACAAACCTGAACACACAGCATTGGATAGCTCTTCACCTTCTGACTGAAATAGCAGCTCCTCACGCCTGCGGGGCGTAAGCGGGCGCACGGTTAGGTAACAGATAATCATTGAGAGCTCTGCCTCTCATTATCCACGCTAAAGCTGACGTTATCTAAAGATAAGAGCCCGTGGCAGTGCATGGACTGGCTGAAAGAGCTGTCGGCTCTGAGCCAACTGGTGCCCGATCACTCGGAGAACGTTACAGGATAGATAAGGCCAATTTTTATCCAGCGAACATCATCCTATTAGCTGGAGAATTATCTGCTCGCATGAAAGAAAACTCACAAATGAGATCTCTTAATACAATATATATCCATTGTGTTGACAGCAGTGAGATTAAATACTGGAGGCTCCTGCTTTTGTCCTGATTAAAAAATGTTTCCTCTAGAGATTCATTGTCTTAAATGAGATGCAATACGCTGATTTCACGCAGCCGCCATTTTTGAAACGGCTCCGGTGGGAAGAAAACCGCCTTTAATCATAGGAGAGAATCGGAAATTCGATGGAAATTCCTAAAAATGTAATGGCTTGTTTTCTCTTGAGAAAAAGACACTAGTGATTTTCCTTGTTTCTCGTCTAGAAATTCCCACAGCAATGTTTACAAAAAGAGATTTCGATATAAACTCAAACATTTCTCATTAAATGAATCCAAGACCAGAAGAGTAACATTCTGCGCAATCAAATATTTATTTAGTAATCTCACGTCTCCTCGAGTGTTTCGAGCGAGATCTCAACGATGTCTCAAAAGCGGCTCAGATTTGTCAAGACACCAAAGATGTGCAATCAAATTCAGAGATCTCAATTTAAATGTTATGATTATAAACATTTCTCATCAATTTCTTTTAAGACTTAAAGAGTTGTTAAATGCAAAATGCGTGACAGAGCAACCTCTCTAAGCAATATGATCAACACCAAGGGACATGTTCCTGGATTAACATAGTTTGATTCCCCATATGCCATAACTTATCCCTAAAATCAGAAAGGAATGATAGGTGAATAACATTGATGTAGAAGCACCTAACCCTGGTTGTAAGCCTAAACTTGACATTAAACTTCAAACTTAATTGAGATGTTTTCCCTCATGTTGAACATGTCCTTGGTGAAATCAAGTTCACCCAACATTAAGGTAAATACATCAGCAGCACTGGTTATAATAATAGTATTATGGCATATTGTGTTTCACGGATTGCGTTTGCAAATCATGTCTGCCGCGTGGCGTGAGATCATGCCATATCTTGTATTTTGCATGTGCACCCGTGTTTTGTCGTCATGCATTCTGGGTTGGATCTGAGCGTCCGTGCAGATAGCAGCCCAGCAGATGACTGACTCAGCATATGTAGCCTTAAAAAGTGTTTGTTCGTTAAGGCTAATGAGAGGAGGCTTTGACTTCCCTTTAATCTGCTTAAGTAAAGCATGGCCTCCAATGTGAGAGACGTCTGCTCTTAACGCTAACGCTCTCCATCTGTGCATCTCAATGTGATCACGACAACAAAGTCATCGCAGGGCAAAGAAAAACACACACAAAACACCATAAATGCAACAAGTGATGAGAAAGCTTCACAATTTGTGTGTGTGTGTGTTTACTGGAACAAGTGTAGCCTATAAACGATTGTCTAGGATTTTGAAATTTTCCACCACTAAACGTTGCAATTAAATTGGCAAAACATTGAAACAGGATTGAATGCATTAACTAAGTTTGAAAAGTAATAGCTATTTTTTTTTCTGACATTAAGAAATAATCAAGAAGTGCAAGGAGCAAGAGTCAATGCTGAGTTCCTGTTGCCAGGGCAACGGCGGCTCTCATAGGCTTTTCAGGCAGGTCATGTGACCAGCAGCTTTGACGTCACCGTGGGAGGCAGTTTGGTGCTCTGAACTCAGCTACGGGTGAGTCTTGTGGAGTTTTTCGTTGGAGCTGCTGGTTGCATCAAAGCTTGTTCCTGAGACCTGTGGCTGCATATCACTACCGAGGCCACACAACGCCTCTTCCCTGCAGAGGACCCCGGGTTATGGCCATCTAAAATCTCACGGCACAGCAACAGAACAACCACCTGAGGTGAGTCCTATGCTTTAATCTTTTTCTTGCAGCTGAAGTCTCAGTGCAGTTATGCAGGACGAGAACATGAAATTGAAAAAAGAGACAGCTGAGATTTTTCAGTATCCCAAAAGGTTTGGATGACTGGAAGCAAACTGATGTTTGAAAGTGAACAGGATACAACAGTTTGAACTATTAGGATGAGGACATCAGGTTACCTGCATCTTTGGTTTTCTTCCACTGAGAAACCTGGATCTGACAGCATGCTGGAATTGGATTTGGATAAATCCTGGAACATACAGTAAGGCTTAGAGGAGGGAATACTGCGAGAGACTACATCTACATTACATGCATATTGAAGTGCCATGTAGATGATGGAGTTTTTTGTCAACGACATTTGGTTAAAATGTATATATAAATGTATAAAAGAAGGAACTGGTCACCAAGTTCTTCCCAATTTTGAATAACCTTTGAGCTTTTATACACTTATGATTATGAATTTTTACAAATGCAAAAAGTCCATGTAATTAATACGAGCCCATAAATTGTCATTTAAAAAGTGGCATGTTCAAAATCACATTCAAATATTTTTAAGTGAGTAACGCAGTTATAACAGCTCACATTGATTCAGTCACATGCATCATGTGAAATAGGAAATAAGCCTTTTGATAGTCATTGTAAGTATCACAAGTTAAAAACATGTTCTGAGAACACTTAACAAAACATCTCAGGTTGCAGGAAGTAGTTGAGACACTTTTTTCCCCCTTTATTGTTGAGGCATGCATGTAGGTTACACGGTGACGTTCATTTTAATTTTATTTTTATCTGACTGGCTGTTCAGAAAGCATTCAGAGTTTTCAATCACAATCGGTCTAAAAAGACGCAAGTGGGCGCTTGGAAAAGCGCGATGGTCTGTAGGCATGTGGAAACAGAGACCCCAGAGAGCCGAGAGAGAAAAATCAAGAGAGATAGACGAGGACATTTAGAAAGGGAGAGGGGAGTGTGTGTTTAAAGAGCTGCCGACACAGAGACGGTATAGAAAGGGAAGGAAGGCGGAAAGAAAGCAGGCGACATCAAAAAGTAGAACAGGTGGAACTGAAATCGCATCATTTACGTCAAAATGGGTCAGAGAAGGTGAAAGTTCTCCCTTGCCACTGTCACCTTTGGCTTGTAGCTTTGGAACAATGACATATCTATATTCAATTCAGACAGTCTGTGGGTAGTTGACATGACATATCAAAGAGTAGGCTACACTACAAATGGCGTTTTTACAGTGAACGGGCCATTCTGGGTTCCTCAAAGAACAATTAAAGGGATACTCCACTTTTTTTGGAAATAGACTCATTTTACCACTCCCCCAGAGTTAAACAGTTGTGTCTTACCGTTTTCGAATCCATTCAGCCGATTTTCAGATATTTAGAAGAATATCAGTAACCAGACAGTTTCTGGTCTCATTGACTTCCATAGTAGGAAAAAATATACTATGGAAGTCAATGAGACCAGAAACGGTCTGGTTACTGATATTCTTCTTAATATCAGAAAATCGGCTAAAAACATCTGAAAACGGTAAAACTCAACTGTTTAACTCTGGGGGAGTGGTAAAATGAGTCTATTTCCAAAAAAAGTGGAGTATCCCTTTAAGTGAACTGAAGAACCATTATCCACTTTAAAAACCTTTTGTGCAATGAAAAGGTTCCATGGATATTAAAGTTTCTTCATGGAATTCTAGATGCCTTTAGAGAACAGCAGTGTCCTGTTGTTTGATTTGATTTAAAACTATTTTAAACGAAAGTTTGCAAATTCTTCAAGAATTATTTCAAATAGCAACATGACATCATGACTCTTGCGTGAACATAGACGCCACTTTCGAGTCAAGTGGCGTGTTATCTCTACGCATTTTGAGCTATCCGCGTGTATGTCTACGCCATTAACGTCCGAGTGATTCCGCGTCAAATGTCCACGCGAAATGAAGCAAAATGTGGATCTACATCTGGGGAGCGATATTTGTTTTTCCTAGGATGGTAGGGGAAGACCTACGCTCTCACGACCAATTCGTACGAATTCGCACGAGTGATTAAAAAGTGGCTAATTCGTACTAATTCATACGACCTCACTCGTACGAATTTGTACGATTTGTCCAAACCCACGTGATGGGAAGGTTTAGGGGCGGGGTCAGGGGAACGAATTCATACGAATTGGCCAATTCGTAAAATATGTACGATTTAGCAAAAACGTACTAATTCGTACGAGTGAGGTCGTACGAATTGTTACGAATTAGCCACCTCGTAAAATTCGTACGAATTCTCGTGAGATCGGGTTGGGAAGACTCATAAATGGTATTAACCCCAGTGACGGGTAGGTTTAGGGACGGGGTTGAGGTAAGTCATATATTTATATATACAGTAATGTAACGTTAAGTCAACGGCGTTCATTAACACGATGAAAAGCGATTATGCGTGTTGATAGCGCGCCAAAAATGGAAATACGAATCGGCGTGTCATACACGCGCAATAATTGAGTAACTACATAGAATACTTGTATTGTAAAAAAATAAATAAATAGTAAAGTGAACAGCGAAAATAGTCATTAAAAATGTTTCTTTGTGCACTTGGCAATGTAAATATAGACCTGGTGGCTCCAGCTTCAGTATAATCATAGTAAAAGCATATACTGTGACTCGTCTCACTCCTGAGAGCTTTTCACTTAACATCTCCAAGTCGCAGTGGACTCTAAGGATTGTCAATTGCCCTCTGTGTTTGGATTGACTCGTGAGGATTGTGTGTATTTTTAATGAGGCTGAGGCTAGTTATTCTTGTAATGTAAGTGACAGCAGATGAGAACAGTAATAGCACATTGTAATGAGAAGTTGAGTTGAGCCGTAGTGATTTCACGCTTGAGTTCATCCACAATCAATTTGTAAGCACTGTGATATAAAAGCATTTCCAGTTTGCTGACATGTCCCGTCACAATTGCTGTAATGGACCGTGATTTATAAGTGCAAATGGTATGAAAAAAATGTTTCCAAAAATAGGCACTTTGCAAATATTTACGTTAAGAGCATGTGCTGGAATCGTGGAGCATGTCTCACGATGCCGTTCTCACAGACGGATGGAGGATTGTGTCGAGGTCAAGCAAGGACAGTTTACAAGCAGTTAAAGCTTTTAAATTGATCGTTGAACGTTTACATTTGAACTGAACATGTTTTACGTCAAAAGTCAGGGTATTAATATAAATTTGCTGTTTCTTCTGACAGGAAATATGGACCTTTATACGACTAGTATAAAATAATGTCAGCCTAGGGTGTGTGATATTTATGACTACTTTCAAGTACTGAATTCACTGAATTTTTCTCAAGCAAGACATTTAGATGGTCATTTTACTCTAGCTTTCAACTGCTTATACTTTTATATGTAACCATAAGGCTAATCCAATGTATTCCAAATGACACGCATAGTGTTTTAAAACCAATTTGTGAAGGCAAAGATCTCAGCAGAGGTCAACATATCCTCATATTACGGTCACTGACTACATCCATGAAGAATGCCATCTTATTTTAGAAAGTTTTACACATTTAATTGTTTAATTGCATATTTTATTTTCATATTTAATATTGGGTGATCCTGAGGTTACAGATTAATGCAGACTCAACAGGGAAAAATTTATTGATGTATGCATGACTCAAAATTTGATTTTGACTTTTGAGAAAAGCACATTGTTGTAGCTATTTTACGCATTACCAATGGATTCCATACCAAGTCCTGGTACAAGATGTTTAGTGGTCCTTACATAACAGACATTAGTCTATATTTATATCCTACTGCTTCAGATTAGCCCAACAGAACCTTGAGTTAATCCTTTAGGTACAAGGAGAAAGAGAGAGAGCGAGAGAGAGAAAGAGAGAGAGATTTTGAAGCAGATTTGTTGGCTACACTCTTAGAAGAAAAGGTTCTATATAGAACCATAAAAGGTTCTATCAGCGCTACGTATTTGGAACCCCTAAAAGGTTCTATACACTCTTAAAAAAAGCACTCTAAAAAATGCTGGGTTGTTTTAACCCAATTTTGGGTCAAATATGGACAAACCCGAAATGTTGGGTTAAAAATGTAATGTAAAAATTTAACCCAACGGCTGGGTTAGTCCATATTTGACCCAAAGTTGGGTTAAAACAACCCAGCATTTTTTAGAGTGAGGGGTTCCTCTGGGTTCTATATAGAACCCTGGGGTTCCGTACTTGGCCAATAGAACCTTTTACCAAAAAAAAAAAATTTTGGAGTTCCATATATGAAGCGGGGGATGGAACCATTTCTGGTTCTAAATAGAACCATTTGTTCTAAGAGTGTAGTTAGCAAAAGACATTTAAACTGTGTAGTTAAAGGAAAGTGTCTGATGTGTGTTCTTTGCAGTCAATGCAAAGACTCCTGCTAGCGAATTTCACATTTAATATCTCCAGAAACCCAATATTAGTATTTAATGACTGCATCACTTAATAATATGGCCAGATCTTAAGTAATTCATGTGACTGTTCACTGGGACGGGTCATTGAATCATTCACTCGGAAATTCATTGGATTTCATTCAGAAATGGACCACACGCTGTGTTGTTGACGAAATATATATATATAAAAAAAACAGACAATATTGTGTATAAAACTTAACTTAATAGTAACTTTTTTTGTTTAATGAACTGTTGTATGAAATCACATTTGCAATCATGCTGATATTTCAGAAAAGCAGCTTTCTTGTTTGTGTGGTATTGCTTTATAATATGTAATTATACACGTAAATAATCGTATCTAACTTACCTTTTAAAACTAAAAGCGTATTTTTATTGCTAATTCTGTTTCTTAATAGAGTGCCGAAGTTACGACGTCACTCTGTAGGCCAAAACGCGGAAGTGAGTTAGCATTTTAGCACCTCGCTCTAAAGCCTATGGGATTTTTGAATGGGTTTTTGCTAAATCGCCTTAAATAAGGTCTGTGGTGAACAAAGCCTCTAAATATTTTCACGTTTTGATCTATGACA